GGCGGGAAGGTGCTAATCGGGCTGCATGGAACCCTCTGTAACCAACCCTCCTCACAGGAACAGCGGGTGACGGCGGGGGGGGGGGTGACTTCCTCTGCGTCTCTCCCCTTTCCTGACTGCTAGCCCTGGCAGAGCCCAGATCTTCGGCAGTCAGAGGGCGTGGCCGGCATTTCTGTGTTCCTACAACACAGCCGGCCGGGCCCTCGGTGAACACGAGCCCCTGTACGGTGGGGCTTCTGTCGGCCGGGCTTCTGCTGCACAAGCTCTGTGGTAACTCTGTACAGTGACAGAGAGTAACTACACCCATCGAGGTGATCGATTCATAGTGTGTAAAAACAGCGACTCATTATGGTATGCCCTGAAACTAAGACGGTATGTGAATTATAATCCAACTAAAAATTTTTTAAAGAATTAATCTAATTTTGAGTATTCTGTGTAACTTCTACAAAACCAGAGTAAAAACGCACAGATCTAAATCACGACGGTCAGCCAAAGCAGAGCACGCACACCCTGGAAACAGTAAATTAGAAACACCCACTGCAGGAGTCAAACTTCAGCCTGTAACCAAAAGCACATAAAACATTATTAGATAAGAATCTCCTTAAAATTTAATTGACTAAATGTATTACATTCAATATTCCATGGGTTTCTTCTGGACAAAGGATCGGCATAAATACAAACAAGCCTCTGGGCCTTCTTCCCTAACTGACGAAGAGAAAACACAGGAGGCGAGGGGACACGGGTACACCTTCGTATTTACATTTTGCCTTTACTTTACAGTTCGGTGCCAGAAATATTTACAGAAAATACAATAAGAAAAAGATCATGTCTTGGCAACATACAGAAATTCATACAAATCGTATATATGATTTCAAGCAAATAATGATACTGCTTATTTTTTAGCCACAACTGCCAAGCCCTTCAGAGGAGAAAGATGTTCTTGGTCACTGCAAGAGGCAAGGACTTGGAAAACTTGGTTTGCTTCAACAAATAATTATTGGGCGCCTACTATATGCAAGGCACTGTGGAATCCCAAATCACACCTTTTCCCTCACCATTAAAAAAAGAAAAGCATCTGAAGAATGTGAGCTGATACTCTGAGAAACACACTATATAGTACATGGCTTCTTCAGCTACCGAGAACCCACAGTTAGATTCCACATTTAGCGGGTGGATTACCTCCAATCTCTCCGTCTCAGGAAAAGAGGCTGTCATGAAAATCCTTAAAACAGATCATCGAAATTCAACCTACTGTTTCATGTAAACACAGAAACCAATGCTTTTTAGGACGATATAACCTGAACGGGTTTAAAAATGCTGAATGGAGAACCACTGCTAGGAGTGTCCCGTCTACCACCTAGCTTTGAGCAAGGCTGATTCCCACTTTGGGTAAAGCTCCACCTTCCAACAGAAATACTCTCGAAGACTCCGTCCCTCTCAAAATCACTGTGCAGAGTCTGATAAATGCTTCCCCAGAGCATGTAGAAAGTAACCATTTATAAAGGCTTCATACACGCAACCCATGGACAACTGATATTACTGGCCAAAGATGTGGGGTTGGGTGTTTTTGTATTTTAAGTGAGTCCAGAGGAGAATGGGCTGCCCTGAAATCGAGGGCCTGGAAATGGAGGGCAACAAGGAGCATGGGTGTACGTGGTAGGGCAACCCACCACGCAGCTATTCCTTTCACAAGGCCAAGGCTAGGTGGGAGGAGGTCTTAGGGGGAAGCACAGGACAAAAGCAGGAGTTGCTGAACAAGAAAAGGCAAAGCCTCCTGTCATCAGTGCTCTCAACCAGAAAAGAGGGGGAAAGCCCCCACCTCCCTAATGGGAAAAAGTACTATGAGGGGCTACGTGTCTCTGTCCCTTGGGTAATTAATGCTGTCATTGTCACCAAATGGCACGCTCACCCCTTCCCCCCCCCCCCCCAACACCTGTCAATGCAGCAACTACACTGTTTAAGCCACAGACCAAAGTGGTCCTGGCTTCCCTTCGAAGGTTATGAATACATGCGGGCAACTTTATCAAGTGGACTACTCAAGGTTATTACTAGGGACTGGATCTGCTCCTCTGGCATCATTCAACTCAAAGTGATTTTTAACAAAGGCAGTTGGGTGAACTTAGTCGCCATGAACTCAAACCCATCCTAGTGGAAGGTTCCAAGGGTTCTGACCACACTCCCTTTTTTTAGGTAAATGTTATCTTGAGCAGAAGGAAAGAGCACCTCACGAGGTATATGTACCCTATGTTTTGTTTGTGCTGTACACAATGGGGTTTCATGCCTTCGGGGGCTGCACAGCTCTGAAACTATCCCTCCTTCCCTGGGAGAGATCGATCACAAAGTCTTCCACACTACAAACCGCATTCCACACATTCACTTACCAAAGCCATGAGAATTACAGAGTTGCCAGAAACTAGAGCAAACTGAAGGATCAGGCAGCCTACCCCAGCACACACGTCACCGTGTGTTTTGCTGACAGTGAAACTATGCTAAAGGCAGGAGTTTTATCTGAAGAATCACACCAAGGAAGCACACCTACAATCAGTTATTTTTAACCTCTGGAATGTTACAAGTTGCATATCAATCTAAGCCTTCTTTGTTCATGTCCACTAGGAAAAGGGCCCATTTTTCCCTTGAAATGCCAATCTGGAATTTCCATGGAAGTTGTTAAACCTCACCTTATATCTGCTGAGTTAATAAAACATTTTTAGGGTAGAGTTTATTCATCTTAATCATACAACCCCCCCCCCACCATGCTACCATCTGGAAACATTGATTTATTGCCCAGATTAAAAAGAAAATCAGTTCTTCAATAATATAATACCCTGAATGGAAACTGGAGTCATAGGAGGAGGTAACCTTTACCTGAGCTTAAAACAAACATGAAGAAAAAGGTGCAGCAAACTTAAAACCAAGAGCTGCTAGGACACCCACATTTCTTGCTCACAGATGACAAAATACATACTTTTGGAACAGAACTATCACCGGGAATTAGGCCCTCCGCTATCCCCCACCATTTAATTAACTCCCCAAACGTCACGCCAAACACACCGCTGCAGCCCTGACCTGCAGAGTCTACTGACACCAGAGTTCAAGTGGGAAGCCGCCCCTAACACAGCTGTGATCACTCCTCTTTGGACTTTACGTGTCACTTACTTTCTTCACATAAGACAATCTTAATAAAGAAGAAAGCACAGAGGAATAGGAGAAATGACCAGTGCACACTCTAGCTCTGTAACAGGAATCCTTGGAAGGATGTTCTGGGTCTGGCCACCTCAAAACATTTCTCCCTGGCAGAAAAGTAGCAGCGAGGTAACAGAAGTATTTCCAAAACCCGGGCAGGGATCTGTTGTGCCTTCAGTTGGCAGAAGTCTGGAAAATATGACAACAACAGCCATTTCTAACAGCGGCCACCTGAGGGGGTGGTCACTAATGTTTGTCAATTATGATGAAATCCAGCAGCTCTCTGGGAGAGATCTGAATTAGTAGCGTTGAGAGGCTATTTCCTGAACCCCAAATTAGAATCCTTCATAAACTACTGCAGTTTCCTGCTTGGTCCTGAAATAAGAGACAATGGATGAAACCAAGTAATTTTCCACCCTTGCTACGAATTTACATTTCTCAAAACTGAACCAAGAAATTACCAAAGGATCACGAATGCTTAGCCTGTCATTTTGTCCCCAAGTCGCACAACAGTGGAGAGAGTGGAGGCATCACTG